AAATATTTTTATATTTTATTAAATGAGTTTGGTATTTTATTTATATTTTTAAATACATCGAAATTGAAATTTCAGCCATACTAAATGAGCATTTTTATTTGTTGGGTTTAGGGTAGTATCTAGTCGAGCACTCTCGACTAGAATTTTCTTACTTGTTTAATGTTTGTTTTGTGGACACACGCTCTTCTTTCAGATTATGATTATATCATAGATATGCATGCATTTGCCAAAGCAGAAGTCTTTACGATTTGAAATACGGCTTTTACAAATATGTTGGTGAGGGGGTGGATATAGGGGTGGGGTGTAAATTCTAACAACAACAGAAATTGTATAAATTGCATATTAATCTACATTAAATGTAGGATGTAAGAGATATAATTTTATAACTGATTTTCGATGAGTTTTTTTTTTCGATAAAAAAAATTGTTTACGTAGTTTAAATATGAATTTAATATTTTTGTTAAGTAGATTGCTTTAAAACAGTTAAGAGTGATGAACTTTGCAAATAGCTGATATTCCAATTATTCTAAGTTTCGTGTATGCATATATATTTATAACAAATAATAAATGCAATACAGATGCAAAATACACACACGCTACACAATGTGCAATATGAGAACCTATTCGTTGGGAAAATCCTCTTTTACAGGGACGATCTGTTTTAGACTTTCAGATGCAATTTTATATTTCTGAATGCACAAGTCTCTACTATTTGTATACACAAATATACATGTAAAATGTATGGGTTAGTAGATCTCGACGTTCATACGGATAGACAGGCACGCCTCCTTCTGCTTGTTACATACATTTTCATAAAAACGAACCCTGATTTCTCATTTTCAATAGGCTATACGTGCATACGTATGCGAAAGTTAAATACTGTTGGTCTAAGAGTTTTAGGTCTAGAGATTTCAGATTTATTGTGGAGAGGCATTTGAAAAATGGAAGGATTTGGATTTTGTAGATTTATATTTATGTTACCACGTAATACAGTTGTGTTACTAGAGGCTTGTGCTTTGGTAAATACACACATTTGAACGATATTATCACGTTCTGAAATTATTTTATCTATGGGAATGGAAAAACAGCCTTCACGTCGCGAGATACGGTAGTTGCATGTGTCTCTTTATCTCTGTCTTTGTTCCAATCCGTACACGACAAACAAGCATTCAGTTTATTTATATTCGACCCACACGACTTAACCGAGTCAGTTGTGAAGAACAGTCTTATTACACACATTGTACTTCCTCTGGTATCAACGCTTACAGAATAGAAGACTTTAAGAAAATATTAAGCAATATTCTTAAAATTTATGTTTATAGCAAAATGCGTGCGATGAAGTTAAATATAATTGGCGTTATATTTTGTCTTATATTCAGTGATTTGGATAGAGTGTTGGCAGACGGTAAGTCATTTTTACAAAATAGTTATTGAGTATATAACAAAATACTTGTTTCCTCTTTAGGAAATAAAAATTTATATATATGTAATTGTATTCAAAGTTTTTTTTTATATATACATACATAATGAGCAAACGAATTAAGATTCTTGTCTGTGAGACTAGATAAGGCGAAAGTTAATTTATTCCAATGCTTAGTTATGTAATAACGCGTATATCAATTGTAATACGAAAACAAGTAAGAAAGCTCTAGTCGAGACTGCTCGACTACGAGTTCCCCTGAACCCTTGGAGTAATAGCTATTTCAATAATTTATCGCGTCTTTCAGCTTACACAAGAAACACACACATACACATACACACTCACACACACGCACGCACACACAGGCATACATACACACACACACATATATATACACACACACACACACACATATATACATACACACACATATACAAACATTTACATACACATACACACACAAGCATAAACACGCATGGGCGGCAGTGAGCGCTTACTATGAGAAYTTAATTGCTTAATAACTTTTTTTGTGGACGTACGATCTTCATGAAACTTTCAGATTATGATTATAACATGGATATGCATGTAATTGCACAAGTCTCTAGTATTTGAAATACGCTTTTTACAAAAGTGAGGGTGAGGGGGTGAATTTAAGGGTGGGGGGTAAATTTTAACAAAAACCGAAATTGTATAAATTGCATATAAGCATACATTAAAAATTTGGAGACTCTAGCAATAAAGGTGTAGAAGATATAATTTTATAACTGGTTTTCGATAAGGTTTTTTATCGATAAAAAAAGATCGGGATGAGTTATCGATTTTTAATGATAAACTTGATATGCGCGCTGTAATTACGGACATTTTAAAAAAAATTTGAAGTCTCTAGCTCTTATATCTTCTGAAATCGACGCGTTCATACATACGGACAGACGGACAGACGGACNCATGGGTTCTTGCTGCGAAGAAATTTCAATTTTCGTGAGCTGCTGCTTGTGCTCACAATGTGAGCCTCACATGTATACATACATATACACATTCGAGAGAGCAGAGAGCATCGAGAGAGAGAGAGAGAGAGAGAGAGCAAGGGAAACATTGAGCATAGAGGGATCTTTTGTTCAAAAGTTGACCATCTCAAGATCAAGAATATATATACTTTGTGGGCTCTGCCACGCCTCCTTCTGCCATTTCAACAAAACCATTATACCCCGATTTCCCATTTTCAATGGGTTCAGGGTATAACAATTAAGAACGTTGCAGTCGGGCGTTACCGACTGCGGAATATTCATTCACATCCCATCAGCTATTTAGCAGTCTCTAGCTTCAATAGCGCCGAAATAAACTGCGTTCATACGCACAACAAGACGGACATTGCAGAAAACTAATATACTCATTTCACTTTCATGAATGAGTATATAAAGTATACGCTTAGGTAATGGAGAGCCGAAAGAAACTTCATCACTTCATTTCTTTTTGCATTACACAATACAATTATTTCATGCAGTCGGTAGAAAACGCGGTCATTTGTTAGGAAAGCAATGGAGCCTGTAATCGGTCTCTTCATGCACACAAGCGAGAATTAATCCATGACTAATGGACATAATAATGGGCATTTCTGCCACTGAGTAGAGGCATTTTTTGTTCAAAAGTCGACCATCTCGGTCGAGTGCATGAAGTGAAATGATTCAGCTTTCGTATATTTTCGTAGCCCGACCTTAAATGGAAGGAGCCGAGCAAATACGAAGTTGTGTCGGTCGCAATGCTCGAAAAAGAGGTGTGCAAAAAGCTACACTGCGTGTCCGGTCTATGTGTTTTTTGGTTAGTGGTTCTATGATTAGTGGTAGTACCTATGTTTTTAATATTCATATAGATGTGAAACGATCTATCTATCTAGAGTAAACGTTTTCAAGCGGCCAATGAAAATATGGTATGGGTGGTATGGTATATGCGCTGGGTGCCTCCACACTTTGCTAGACCATAGTGGCGAAATAATAGAATAGAAATAATAGAACGTAATATCGCTGAAGCACTTTTAAATGTAGAAGAATGAGTTACCGTTTTTCCCCAACAGAATATCCAATTTCACTCTTGTTTTGCGTAATGATTTACTATATTACAGCAAAAAATGTTTATTCAAAGTATACATATGTTGCGTAACGTTTTATTATGTTTACATATAACAATTTACCAATTTGTGCAAGCGAACATTTGATTGATTTCTAAATCGTTCTGCTTTACATTCAAATAAATGATGACCTTTAGAGTTTACATAATAAGGGGGTATTTTTTTTTTCCTTAATACAATTTTATTTCCCAAAGTGAACTGCATAAAATCGATAAATCGATTATTCTCGGAAATCTGTAAATCTTGGACGGGACTTGCTTTAATTTCTGTAAATCCATTCTTTGCCATTTGACGTTCAACAACATGCAATTTAGTTTCATTCGCTATATCGTTATATGATTTCTGTCGCATGAGCCCGATAAAAAATGCTTTCACAATGTGCTGAAGATTTGTTGAGCCTTCAATTTTTGCATATAGGTCCTGTATCCCTATAACTTTGCAAATCGTTTGTATTGCCCTGTGACATACTAAACCATACCCTTCCGGTTTTTTAAATACAAAAATTTTAGTTTTACCAAAGGCAGTATAAAAATCATGATTAATAGTTCTATTTTCATAAAGGTCAATGCTAATAAGTTTCTGTCCCGAACGATTTCTTGATTTCCGCAGGGCGGTTCGAACTTCAGGCGCTTTAGCTGTTGCGAATCCAGCTAATCCATTTTTATTTCCTGTGACAGATAGAACAGAGTATCGTCTTTTTCTCCCCATATTGCCTTTCATTATAAATACTATTTTATTCTCTAATACACGCGTATCGAATAACTTAAAATTCTCTTCTCCAACTGCATCTGGTGGCCCAATGCTACGACCTGGCATTTTTGTTCCCGACCAACCTCGATCTATTGGATTTAATTTCATGAGTTTGAAATTTCCCATTGAGTCACGCAAACTAATGATGCTGTTTTCTCTATCCATGTTTTCAAATTGTTTTTGTTGATGCGTAATTTCGTTTCCTCGTATAATTGGTGCATTAAGACCAGGCCAAATGAAATTTTTTTTGCCGAGCCCGATTGTTTGGCCTCTGTTCAAATCCTTTGCAACTTTTTTTCCAGTTCCTTTTCCACGACCTCTTTTCTTTCCAGCGTTGCTTACTGCTGTCACCCCACGCCAGATATCTTCGGCAGGTACTGCAAACAATAATACAAAACAAAATTTTGATAAGCACACAACACTATGCAAAAATACACATACTTTTAATTTGAATGTATTTCAATTTTATGTAATAAGAAAAGATAACGAATGCTTAAAACAAACATTTTAGAATGCTGCCAAATAACAGTGTAACTTTTGTAAGTCGAAATGCGCGTCTTTAGATTTGTGTAACATGAAGCAACTGTTATATTCTTCCCACAAATAATAATGGAAATGCTAAAATTAAAGAGGGTAAGAAATGCCATTTTAAAGCGAAATAATTGTGCCTATATGTATTAGTATATGAATAACCAGAGATGGAAAAAAAAGAAGAGGGAAACATAACGAAAATAAAACTCGATATCCGCGGCATATATACGGACATTTTAAATCAAATTTGAAGTCTCTAGCTCTTATATCTTCTGAAATCGACGCGTTCATACATACTGACAGACAGGGCCAAATCGAGTCAGCTCGTCGCCCTGATTAAGAATATATATACTTTGTGGGGTCTGCCACGCCTCCTTCTGCCTGTTACATACATTTCAACAAAACCATTATACCCTGA